AGCGGCTTTTGGCAACGAAGCCAGCGTGAGCCGGCGAGGCAGGCTCCCACATGATTATCAATCTTTCACCCACTTTCGCATTTTGAATGAACTACCGACCTACTGTAATTTCGGTCAACATTCCATGAGATAGCACATCTACCATTTAGTTCACAGCATACACGCCGCAGATTTTTCAAACATAAACGTTTCCTTCTTCGAGTACCTTCTTTTACAAGTTTGTAGGGCTTTAGAAAACGGCCGTATGAAATGATGGTTTTTAAGTACCAACTTAACTGACAATTTAGCGTGAAAATAAAATTCATTCAAGACAGTTCAATTTAATTCTTCCGTTCAGTTTCCCATTTCTTTGTAGGCCTCGAGGTCGAAGAATTCAGTCGGACGAAATCATGCTCTCTTTCGACATGAAGTTGCTATTCACCTCTACTCCGCTGAGGTTCGCACCAGAGGTGTTGCACAGGCAACTCGAGAGTTCCCTCAAAATTGAACACTTCACGAAGCTGTTCAAATTTTGCCAAAAGACCTACTTCATCTTTGGGAACGTCTTTCCTTGAAATAATTGAGTATTTAATGGGCTTATTTAATCTTGAGGCAGTGGATGTAATTAATCTTCGTCCTTACTGTTATGGGTTCGAATTCCAACGAGGCCGTTGAGTTTTTCACAGTTAACTATTCAAGTTTGGCAAAACCCATAATCACCAGATAATGCGGGGACTTTTATCAATAAAAGGCGAAATTATGCACGGGATCGTCTTTTAGGGCAATGATGGAGCGCAGTGAAACATTTGGTCCATGGATCTTTGGCAGACTATAGAATTGAGCCACAGCAGCATACGTTGGTTTCATCTAACGCAATTTGTTCTCCGTGATCACATGTTGGTACTTAAATTCGCTGAGTAATTTATTCCCCCCTCTCTCACTCCCGTTCTCTCTTTCTCTCTCACACTGCCTAAGTGCGGACTACAACCAGCTGAATAAACTACACTGCTGATTGGATGAAATAGAAGACTGTCACAGGATGGCTTACGGCGGGGATTAAGCTATCGCCTGCCGCGCTCGGGCTCGTTTCGGATTCAACCCAGTGAATTCAGTTTGTAAGTTTTTCGTGGCCGGTCACTTGGATGCTGCATGGGATGGCTAAATTTGAGAATTATTACGAGCTGCTCAACTGCAGTCCGAATTCCTCGGTTTGATTTGCCCTTTTCTGTCCGTTTTAACATCCCACGTTTCCCTCCCTTAGGTTGATCAAATACTCGTGGAGTATAAAAAATTAGCGCTCGCTTACCATCCGGATAAAAATGCCTCCAGTCAAACCGGCAATTTGATTTTCATTCTGACTCTCTCTTTCTGTGTAGGCGACCGATTTAAACAAATCCACCGGGCGAAAGAAGTCCTTGTTGACGCCGAAATGCGTAAACTCTACAACTGCTGGCTAGATGTGAGCATGGGTGTTCCCTTCGAAGAATGGATTGCCATCAGGCGAAACTTTCGAATGGTGAGAGAGAAGGTCTACGTTTACTTGAATCGGCACCTTCTAGTGCTTCCACTGGACTTCTCAAGGTGGCGGTGAATGCCTACGACTACAAGACTCGTGCTCGATTGTTCAACGGGCCAACCCAACCCCTGTCGGTGGAATAGAAAATCTCATAGAGCAGTTTCGAAAATATGAAATCTAGAGGGCTGCGGTGCGGGCCTGTATCCACAAAAGCACTGACTTTTTTACTTCCTCAGCTTCCTGTTAAACTACCTTCATCTGAAAAATATTCGTTTGTTTGTTCATTTATTATATCTCCCAAATATTAATATTCTCTTTTCTGGTTCACATGGCAAAAACATGTCTGACATATTGTACCCAATCCTAAAATTGGTCAGTTGGTGCAAAAGTCTGTGCTGAGTATGTAATAAGCGTGTTTTCTGACAGAGGCAGAATATCTATATTCAATCAGACTACCAACTTGCTTTCCTTCGTGAAAATTCGCAGAAGGAAGTGCACTCTGGACCTCCTGACAAGATAACACAATCGGAATTTCATTATCGACCAAGTCTAGGGAGACTGGAAGGGCTATTTCCAACTTATTAGTCGTCATCAGCCAGCTAGCGAGACTTGACATGATGGGTGACTTTTATAACAGATCGGTAGAGCGTGTACCTGACAGTTCGGCCGTCGACTTCGACGGTGTCTACCATACAGAGCAAGGTGTTGCAGGGACAGTGCTTGTGCGCGGATTAAATTTAAGTTATAGTAGACTTGCGCGGCGTTGACCGCACTCTCTAATCCTTCACCCGCCTGAGCCTGGTCTCAAAACTGGGTCAAGAAGACCGAAACTGGGATCGGGCGCCGTTGGCTGGCGCGGCTGAGGCCGTTCTATCTAAAACCGATAACAAATATTTATTAATTTCCTAGGGGTGTAAAAGGCATACTTTAAGGGGACAGTTCATATTCAAAATGCACTTCGTTGGATAGGAAAAATCATATCCCCGTAGAGGGGAATTGGTAACAGTCTAGTATGGGAATCACTAAGGAAACTAGCTTCCCATTATTCTCTAATATGCCATCAGTGGTAATAGGGGTTATATGGGTGGGCATCACAGGGCACAGAAGGGAAAATGTAAGAACTATATCAAACAAAAACAGGAAATAGTAGACAAAATTATTATCAAGAGTTAATGCGTGGCAACGACAAAATGAGCGATAACTAAAAAATAAATTGAAATAATTACTTAATTAATTAATTTAATTTAATTTAATAAAATTATAAATTAAATATTAACATAACCGTTGTTTTCCGTAGTGAGCCCTATACTAAACTGTTACCGGGGTATTTTCTGTTATACAGACTGCACAGGTTAGACTAGTATCAAGAAGAAAAGGAGAGCGCGACCAAATGAATTATACGGGCGCGTCATGCTTGGCGAATGTCATTTCAGGTCTGTGGGCAAGTTCTTCAATCAATAACTCACCTATTCGAGGAGCCAAGTGGTGCGATCAATAGGTCGTACGTCTAACTTTGGGGATTGGGACACGTCCGCCTGATAGTAAATGCTTCTACCGTAAGGTGGATAGAGCGCAGACATATTAACAGACTTACACTACGCAACGTTTCAGTCATCACAGCAAACATTCAATGGCTCAAAGACGAAACTGTATGAGAGTACTCTTCAAAAGAATTCAGACTCGCTGCAGCAACCTGGAAGAATTAGCAGGTGAGGTCCTGACGACTAACTGAAGGCGTTTATAAGCTGATTCCTACCTGATCGACCCCGAAGGACATAAGTCGGGTGTAAGACGGGATGATTTATTATCACAAGTTGTTACACATACTTAGGAAGCGAGTCACGAATATAATCATCCACATGCAGTGCAAGACAAGCTGTGAATTGATTGAAGTATGGGTCTGTGATATGAACTCAGCCTATCGATATGTTGATCAAGCGCCGGCAGCTACTTCTGGACTGATGTAACTGCTGTTTTATTGGCTACTTTGTCGATATATTGGCTACTAAGACGTTTCCCTAGGTCTCGGAAGGGCAACAACAATGCATGTTTTCTACAAAGCCCCTAGCCCTTAGTCCTGCGGTTTGTTTGATTACTTTTACTTTAGCTTTTAGTTTATTATTTATTTTATTAGATTTACTCCAGTTTTAGTTCTAAGGTTAGTTTAAGTTTATTTGTAGTTTTCAGTTTGGTTATATACCGCCAAATTTAAATAAATATAATTAAATAACTACTATATACTGAGCTAACTTAAATAAGCCGAACTTAACAAAACTAAGCAAATTACAAACTGAAGTACACTAAAACTAAAGTTAAACTAACAATCTACATAATAAACTAAAAATTGAACTATACTAATACCACCGGTCCCGTAAGACAGAATTCTGGGGCTAGGGGTATCTAAGGTGGTGGACCAACTTTATTGTTACCATAAATTATTCCCCTTTTTAATAAAGGGTCACTGTCTAAGGATAGTATCTTTTCCAATAGTAAATTCGACCTAGACGGTCACCTTTTATAGCCGATGTTTTTGTGAACGGTCCCATGCTGGTGGTTTTAATTAAAATTCACAGAGGTAGGGATGCTCCGCACTTCATCGTCATCGACGATTATCCCAGGGTAATTTGGCAGAAAAATCACTCTGATTGGGTTCCTTTCAACATTCAGTGCTCTTATTATTGTGACGTTTCATTAGGAGCCTTTCTACCATCCGGGGGGACTACGCTAACATGCACCAATCCATTGCGGTCCGTCAGCTATATTCAGGTCAGTTCGGTTCATTTTCATTATGGGAGAGGTAGGTGAACGCCTTTGAGCTCCCTATTGGTAACAAAGTGGCTAGAAAATGCATCGATACAAAAGAAAAAATCAACATATACGAGCGCAAATCGAGCAGCTATTGGTTACCCTAAAGCGTAATAACACATGGCTACTCACCTAGAGCGAGTAACACAGTAATTGTAAGTAATTGTAGTTACAGTTCATGTGCTATCTCATGGAACGTGAACTAAAATCCTGAAATGTGTTTTCGATTGGCAAAGACTACTTCAATGAGGTTGTCGTATTAACTAACATACAGCATGATCACAAGCCATGCCAGTCCCATCGGGGTGCTCGCTTTTGAACAAGCTTCTTTTAGACCATCTGCAAATACTACGTTCCGTAACAAATACTACTTAAGTGCGTAGCATTCTCCCGTTGATTTTCGATGCTCTTACAAAGTTAAATGCATTTTATATAAAGGATACACAATGTATTCTTTCTCGGGTTCATTTGGTATTAAGCTGTGTTTTCTTCTCATTTTATACTTGAAGCAACCGTAGCTTTCGACGTTTAAAAAAGTACCTAATTATGGGACTTTTTGAAACCATGTCCATTTATTAATGTTGCTTATGACGTACCTAGTACGGTCAACACGCCTAGAAACATCTTGCGGGCGCTACATGACGTCTGCTCAGAGGGTGAAGAAAATGCACCGCAGCTCCACTCTCACTACAATCCAGCGCAATTCACCGTCCCTGCACCACCCTGCTTTGGAGCACATGGTGGACCTCATCGAAACCGACGGATGAACTGTCTTGTAGAAAATCTGTGATATCCCTTTGACGGACTTTATACAGAATTAGCTTTGGACACCCTGAATGCAAAATAAACGGCAAGTCAAGTTCAAAATTATACGGGAATTGAAATTTTTTTCTAATCTGACGGATATCGCTTTCTAGACGGTAAAAATTTAAGAAGACAATTTTGTACCAAATGTACGCAAGAAGGACTATTATTGTGCACGATTTCTATCAAAGATATATTCTATTAATAATGAGACCTAAAATCAATAGGGCAAACGGATAGTAATTATGTAGGTATTTTTTGCCAGGTGCTGTGTCTGCGAGATTGTTTTCGACAACTCCTTATTACCTCATGCTTCCTCTGAAGATAGTCCAACCTCCTTCCTTTCCCTCCCGAAATAAAAACGTTTGGTGTCACAGAGTTTTGTTGTTAAGTCTAGCTACTGCGCCGCTCACTTGGACGGTCGACTCAAAATGTATAAAAGTAGGAAAACGATAAAAAAAAAGCGTCTGCGCTACAGATGTTTCTGGTCATTCTGGCCCTAGTCATAGCTGGAGCTGCTCGTCAAATACGTCACTTTGATCGGCTTCATATTTGTTTTTACTCCCTTGACTTCTCCCTCCAGACTGTCATCTACTCCCCGTATTCCGCTTGGGGTGCCACTTAGGTAACAGTCTAGTAGAGGACTCACATCGGAAACCAAATTCGAGTATTCTGTAATGCGGGACCGGTCGTAAGAGGGGATATACGCATGGGATAATGTCGGGACGCAGTAGATAAAATAAAAGAAATATATCAAACAAAAACAGGAAAAAGTAGATGAAATTATTATAAAAAGGGAATATATAGCAGTGTCTAAACATGCGGTCATTGAAAATTAAAGTAAAATAAAGAATTAAATAAGTCAACATAAATTACTTAAACAAAGTAATATAATACAAATAAAGTGTCATTGCCACCGGTCATCTATTACAGAATTCTGAAGATTTTTTTAGGCGAGCCCTATACCCTAAGAATCGGACTTCAGTTTCTTATTCCCTGAGTCTTGGCCGACACTGACCACCTACAGGCTGCTCCTGGATCTGCATTTCTCGTTGTCTCGTTTTCCTGTCGCAGGTAGTTGCGTCGACAAGGAGAA